GATGTTTCTGTTGGTTTCCGGCCGCCATGTTGGTGCCCATACGGATGGGCACCAGCATGGCGTCTCCATACAAATCTCTATAAATTTGGGGAGAAAATTTCTCCGCATATCTCGCATAAGAAAAATTGCTGTGACCAGAATTTTGGCGAGAGGCTTCGCATATTTACCTTCTTTCATTTCCCAGATTCCGGACTTTATCTATTGACCGGTTTTGATTTTTATTTTGAGCTATTTTGAATTGCGTGACACTGAAAACCAGCAATAATCATGGCTACAATGGCGGAGCTTGAAGAAGTCTCTTTATCTAGCGTCTTCAAAGTTTAAAATTTCTAAGCTTAATAAAGCTTACTAGAAGCTTGCAATTCGAAAAATTGTCGTCGAGAAGGAATATGTCTCCGTTAATCAAGTGGTAGAGGTGTTAGCCGAGCTAAATTGAGGTCTTCCTGTTGCCCTTGATCGATTTTGTTTAGGGGTGAGCGTTGCGTCTATTTTTCTGTTTTGTAGGTGTCAGCAGATTACTTGGCGCAAAACAACGTTTTCTTGTTAAAAAAAAAGACACTCCGGCTAACGGAAAATTTTCGAACTGCTCGCTGCTCTGAAGGCAAATTCGATCACTGCTCGTGCTCGCAAAAATAAACGCACTGCTCCCGAAGACGATTCGATGCCCCTATTGTTATGACGTCACACAGCAACAAGTTCGCCTTCACTGTGATGACGAGGCTGAGATATAACATAACATAACATAACATACTAATTTATCAAAAGAAAGATAAAAATACTTCATGAAAAGGAAACACGAGGTCAACCCTTCCAGAAAATAATAAAAGCTACAACAATACAATATGACTATTGTCTTATTACCTAAAAATATATCACTATTTAGATATTTACAAACTGAGAAAAGACTTCAATCCAGTTTTAAAAAATTTAAAGTTGCTGCTTCGACTATGTGCAGCGGCAAGTTATTCCAGTCCTTTATTATGCAAACAAAAAATGAATATTTATAGAGATTTACCTTCGCACTTTTCACATATAATTTAAAAGATCGATTAGCACGTGTCCAGTTATGAATAGTTAGTTCAAAATAGTCACTGAAGTTCAAATTGTTTAGGCCAAATACTGTCTTATAACATTCTACAAGAGAGAGAAGTGCCTCCATTTCTCTAAGATGGGCCAGTTTGAAATTTTGAGACGGTCTTCGTACTCCATTTCTCCCCGTCTTTGTCCAAGTGCCAGGCGTGATGCTCTCCTCTGGACTTTTTCAAGTGCTAGGATGTCTTTGACTAGGTAAGGGCACCCTATTGGAGTAGCATGCCCAAGGACATTACACACTAATGTCTTATACAGCATGGAAAGAGCTTCTAGATTTAAGGGCTCAAGCGTTCTGTAGACTACGCCCAGGATTCTGTTTGTCCTGTTTACTACGGTGTCCATGATAAATCAGAGGAGATGAGGACTCCTAGGTCACACGTTACCAAGGAAAGAGATTTTCTGGTATTGAAGGTGCAGTTGGCATGTTGTTGCTTCAAACCCTGACCTCTGCTGACGTACTGTTTCCTTACAAGAAAATTTCCCATTTATTTGTGCGTCGCATGATTATTTTTCGTTCCCACCCCGTTCAAATCGTCCACCAAGAAGATCCTTCCTCCCAGGCTATCATTGGTTACGCCACGGCCCGGCTGCCTCGGTAAGTGAGAGCTCAGTACTGCTTGGCAGAAGGTCATAGGTTCAAATCCAAGACTAAACCACAAACCAGATGGCCTTGGCAACACAAAGGGGACATAGAAGAGCCAAACACCACACACTTTTTGCAAAGAGTAGGGAACATAGATTCCAATGTTGGAGCCTGTCCAAGCTCACATGAAGAACAAAGGCAAGAGTTCAAAGAAAAGACAGACAAGAAAATTCATGGCTCACGAATGTCTCTCCTTTTGAAATTCATGGCTCATGGAATAAAATACTTCATTTTTCACGGAAAATTCATGGCCACAAATACTATGAAATTTCATTTTGCAGTTTTAAGCTGAGTTTTCATGGGCAATGAAATGCCTTTCACGGGGTATTCATGGAAAATGCATGGTATTTTCATAAAATGGTGGTTGATAGTGGCATTATTTACTCCTCTTTTCTGGAACCAGGTGACATTGAACTTTAAGCAACAAAAGTGTCAACAACCGATAGTTACGTACAGACACGTGCTGAGACCCCAGCACATGCCTGTACTGCAAGGCGGACATCGTTGCTGGAATGTCCTGGGGCCAAGTTAAAGGAGCTCGGTGACGGTTTGCGCATATTATGGCCGTTTTCACACTAGAGACGGATTAATCCGTCTCTAGTGTGAAAACGGCCATTGAAAAGTTAGCCTCAATTTTTCAAATTCGTCGTTTGTAATCCGTGTCAATCTTCTCCATCCTTAGCCATCCTTGTTCCTTTATGGTTTATCATTTTGTCTTTGGTGTTTTTCTATCTTATTAAACTGTTATTTTCAAGTTTCCTACCATTTAAAGGTAATTTTGTATGTGGCCAAAATAACTCAAAATACTGTGACTGAGCTCCTATAACCCAGTCCAGAGTAACAAATGTCCCCTTCCTGACGGGGCTTTAGCACAGGGCCGAGGCAGCAGTTGCCCGACCATAATGTCGAGTATAGCGAGAAAGTACCGGTCAATGCAGATCCCTCAAACCGAATCTCTACAGGACGTGCAAGGATTGGGCATGGACATTTCTTCGCCCCAAGGGTTAAGTGACAGTGAGATCAGCCGGCTGTGGAGAGGCAGAATGGGGGACCGGAGTGCCCTCCAATACAACCTAAGACTGTGTAGATACGAAGTATTACTAAGAATTAAGAATTATCAATAGCCGACAGTCGTATGATAGCTGTTGTTGCAGTTATCAGAGTTTTCACATACAAACAGGGCAAAAGAGTCATTTCTGCTTTGCATTGACCATTTTGATCGTTTGTATGCCTTTTCATACAAAAGTATGTTTGACTGCCGATTCGACTGCAATGACAGCTAATCTCTTCAGAGAAAGGTTAACTGCCACAGAATGGGAGATGCTTCGTGTAATGACCTGAAGTAAAGCTGTGAAAGATCTAGGTTTGCCATATGCCTGTTCCTTTTTAACTGATCTCCGTGGGGAAGTGGCTCGATTCAGGGGGGTGGGGGAGTGTAGGGTTATTTTCAGGAGTAACTACTCCCAGACCTGTAACAAGTTACTTGTGACCTTCATAACCTGCAATCAGGCATTTTGTTAACGTGGGAAGGGAGGGAGGGTATGATGGCAGGTTATGACCTCCTCTACAACTGAACCATCATAGCATGAATTAAATTGGCAAAACAGGAAAAACGACTCGTAAGCGTTTGTTACTTTGTTTTATTAAATATTGTACCATATAAGAATATAGATTTTAGCTTCACGAGATAACTTGCAGGCAGTATCTACATATTTCATTTTGATTTTACCTGTAAAATCTCAGTTCAAATTGAGACAGNTGATCCCAAAGTGCACGTGCCGGTTTTTCTTGTAGCAGATTATCGGAAAGACCCCCGAGGTAAAAAAAAGACTCAACTTCAGTATTTTCATGTGAATCTCGATTCTTCTGTTATCTGTTATTTTTCTTCTACGTAGCGTAATTCGTGATAAGAGGCATACTCTATATGTTTTAAGCCTGTTCCTTTCCGGCCAATTCAGAGTAAAACTAAGTGAATTATTTGACCTTGTCAACGAAAGTGGTTTAAAGCAGATTAAATGCTGAACAATTAAGGTAATATTTAGTATTTCAGAATTTAAGAAAATGGACCGTGATGTTTAACAGATTCAGTAACATCTGACACGGATGTGCCACTCTATCCATCGAAATAAAACAATGTTGATATTGGGCGACAAATACTAGTCACGAATACAAGTCAAAAACCACTTATTGTATACCTAACCCTGAGGGCATTTTAAGTGGAAAGAGAGCGCAAAATTATCAATCATATATCTTTTTTATGACTACTTTTCCATTTTCTTATAAAACTGCAAAACAATTTTTATCAAAATTCAATTTCCAGAACCCTTTTCCAATTAAAAAAGAAAACATATTCCGGGCTTAATTGAAGTCATGGAAAGACGAAAGGGACGTTTGGAGAACGAGAAACTATGTACAGAGCACGCGAGCAGCGAGAAACTGTTTCCACAGCTTTGTAGAGCCCTACAAAACTTTAACGATTGTTTCTGTAACTCGAAGAAACACGGAGATCGTTTTCAGTTTTTTTTCGAATTCACCAAGTAGAAAATTAAGGAAAATTAGTCGTTTAGTTTGATAATTAAATGTAAATTCTCTTTGGTAGTGCTTGTTAATGTTCAATGTTTCTATGGCATTAAAAATGGAAGTTTGGATTTTAGCCCGTGCACATTTTCTGCAGTGTCGTTTTCAAATTAATCAGAGCTAAACAGTGCGGGGCGTCTACTTGTCGTACTTAATAACTGTTGGACACACTGACCTGACAATAATAACAATCATTTTTAGTCAGTTTCAATAGGTTAGCACCTGTTCCGCCCTTTTTATTTAAGATCCGGGAACATTGCAACTGCACTTAGCTTCATTCTGTAACCCTTGCAGTTTGGCCGATTCCGCGATGCCCTTCAACAACACCACTGTCGGAGAAGCTGCTAATACGACTCAAGCGACTCAAACAGTGGACATAATCATGGAGCCAGCCTGGTTGACTATCGTTCGACTTACCATTGAATGCATAATTGCGGTTGCTGGCATCATCGGAAACTTCGCAGTTTGCTTTGCTATTACAAAGCACCGCACGCTGAACATAGCACCTACCAATACGTTGATCAGGAATGTGGCCATCGGGGACCTGGCAACGCTTCTTATATCTTTCCCACTTGGTGTAGTCAGAGAACAATTCACATACTGGCCGCTTGGCGAGTTCACATGTCGTTATATTTTCCCGCTAATCGACATCTTTTTTGGTGTGTCCGTTTGGTCTATTGCTGCCATAGCCTTCGAAAGGCGTCGCATTTTGGGGGCCGACGTCCCTCGACTGGTTCTCAGATCATCAGCAGTGCCACGACTCGTCTGTGCTGCCATCTGGCTCTTTTCCTTCCTTGGGATTTCGCTGCCATTGGTCCTTATTTACAAGTACTATCCATCACCGGATATGAAGCCCATATGCCGGCCAATTTGGCCAAACCCTATATTAAGCTTCATCTACAGCATCGCCATGTCCCTGTTTACCTATGTCATCCCGTTGTCCTTGATCTTTGTCACGTATTGCACCATCAAACGCAAGCTGTACAAGAGCGAATCGTTTCATATTGAGATGGCGGATCAAAGTTTCAGAGGAACTTTCAAAAGCAGTCAAGTAACCCTTGTGAAATCACGCATCAAAAGGTTCAACAAAATCATGACTCCAGTGGTTGTTGTGTTCGCCATCTCAGTTTTCCCTTTGAGCCTGTTCCGTATACTCATCTTGTTCTACTTTACTAACCCCGTATTCGTGAAATACTCTCATGTAATGTTCAGAATCTGCTTCTTCTTTTATATCCTCAATTCGGCAAGTAACCCATTGATTTATTCTATCGTCAATAAGAGGTTTCGCCAGTCCTTTAGGGAAATGCTCGCCTGGGCTTGATGATAGTTGAGACTGATGAGCTGACAATGAACATGTCACCGAGAAAATCGTAAGTCTAAAACGCACCTTAGATAAACTGTTTATTCCGAATTATACTCCGGAGTAAATTCGCTTAGAATGCTTCTAGAAGAACATGTGTCTCCATAGGAATTAGATTTAAAACATGAACCTGAATATGGATGCATGCTTGAAATACAATTTGAGCGTAAAAAGACTTAATTCTATGACAGTTTTCGTTTAACTCTTTTCGCAGTTTAGGGTAAACTGTTGTCAGAAGCTATTTGAAATAAATCTTTGCTTTTTAAAGTGTAAAAGAGCAAAAAATAGATAAATAGAATCAGTGATAATAATTATTCAAGAGACGATGGTATCATCGTCTCTTAAAAATGATAATTTTAATAATAACAATAATAATAAAGATAATAATAATACTAATACTAATACTGATACTACTACTACTACTACCACTAATAATAATAATAATAATAATAATAATAATAATAATAAAACGAAGCTAGCAAAACTGGTCTCAGTTTGACTGACTTGAACATCGTGACTTCATGTTGGACCTTAGAAGTGCGTGTTCCAGTGGTATTTAACTCGTTTTATTAAATGTTTTTTGGATAATTCTTTTCCGTGGCAAGTGATTAGCAGCAGCACGTTTGCAGGAAAAGATATTCTGTGATTGGTGCCCCTTTCTACACAGGTTGGTAAACTCGCTCGTGAAAACTGTGTTCGTTCAGTCAGTAAACGTTTCTGAAAGTGAACACGCTGTTTAGACTGAAGTGGACTACGTTCTATTTAGATTGACAATTTGCGTTTCTATATCACAGTGGGCTATAAAAATTGGAAAACTTCAAGTCGTTCTGCACTGTGGTAGATTACGATAAACGAAAGCTTATGAACAGATTGAAACGTTGGTGGTGTCAACTGCAAATAACCTTTTTTACGGTTTATTTACTCTCGATAATCATTGATTTTTGCGTAAAAACATACAAGATGGTTCCGGCTAAAAAAACTATTCACCTACGAACTGCCACTGCTTTAGGATAAAAANCTTGCGCCTTGGTGCTGCAAGAGTGAGAAATGCAGAGCAGAGGACTTCACTCTAAGGAACAGCCCCACAGGTCCATGTGCACTGAGCACAACCATGGAGCCATGCCGTGGGAGAACACAGTTTGGCATCATAAATTTTACTTCCTTTTGATGTTAAAGCATTTGACTTTGGGGTATTAGCATGAATTAACCTTGACCTATGACTCTACTCCAGAGGGAACTGCTTGTAGGAAGGGTTCAGATGAGTATGATCTGCCTAGGGCTGGGATGAAAAATCCTCACCGCTGCTGGGTACGAGTGGTGGCTGGTGGAGAAAAGAGAGCCAAAGGTTCTCTTCTCTTTCTGCTCGGTGAGAGAGAAGAGAGTTTGGAAGTGAAAGATTAAACTAATACCCCGGAGGCTACCCTACAAAGTTGTATACAGGGAGGCTTTGCCCCAAGGTACAAGCCCTCAACCTTTTGTGTACCATTTTGACAGAAAAGGTAGCCCTTTCACATACCTTTCACATTCAAACCTGGCGCAATGAATGAAAATTAATGATACAGCCATTATAAGGTGTGCCTATTCGAAATATTTTAAAAAAACGACCCAGGTGAGGCCCTTTATGATGACTATAGTATTTAAGTGACAGATTTCCCAACCTTTTCATATACCTAAACTTGTGCAATCCCTACCCTTTTATATACCTGAAGACTGAAAAAGTTATCCCTTTCACGCAGAGCCTCCCCATATAGGCCCTTATAGGGAGTAGCCCCCTGGGACTTGCTCAAACTTACCATCATAAATTTCACGAAACGTGCATGTGGTGATCATATCTCCGACTGAAGATTTGAAATCATCCTTCCCTGAACCGACAAAATTTACAAAAACAAACACCACGGCAATTCTCTCAACTCTCTGTTGCCAAGCAAAGGGAGTGACAGTACACAACTTTGCGTGATAAGATTTATAGCCTCGTGCAAAACGGACAGACCACTTGTTTCCCTCACTCTTCTGCAGGGTGAGCAATGTTTTCTGACCACAATGCACTATAACTTGTGGCATACAGACCTTTGTGACAAATGCAGTGGGCTAATATGGTTAGTGTGTTTGGCTCTGGATCGTGCAGCTTGGGGTTTGAGCCTTGGCTGCCACATTATGTTGTGCTGTTGTGTAACAGCTTTGACCCTCGGTGTCTCTCTCTCCTCTCAGGTGTGGTATAAATGAGTACCGGTGAATTTAATGCTAGGAGTAACCCTGCAATTGATTAGGATCCCCATTCAGGGGAGAGTACAAAATGAGCTGAGCTCTTAGTTGCTTTATGCAAATGTTACAGAAACCAGTGTGAGGCACAATGGCCTCATGATTAGTGTGCTCCACTCAACAACAAGCAGTCCTGGCGCGAGCCCTGGCTGAGGACATTTTGTAGCGTTCTTGGGAAGACACTTAAACTCTCACAGTGCCTCCCTCCACCCAGGTGTATATTAAATGGGTATCAACAAATTTAATGCTGAAGGCCAGGGTAACCCTGCAGTAAACTAGCATCCCATCAAGGGAGGAGTAGAAATACTCTTAGTTGCTTCATGCTACATGGAAACTGGAGATAAACATCGACCTGATGGGCCACTTACCTACGCAATGCATATGCAGTACTTTACCTGGAAACCAGCTGTGTGGACCAGTTACACCAGAGTGCGGCTTTACTTATCTAAGACCTTTTATGCCAACTTTTAACAACCCAAGATTGACAAGATCATTCTCTACCTTGCCTCAACTTCTGCCAAATGAAGGACAGTGAGAGAAGCATCTTCAACCTCGTATTATCACTTGGCCTGCAAGAATGACCTTGCGCCAGTTTCACTCCACCTGTGTATGTTGCATGTTTTGTTTCTTGCCCAGTTCCTGTTATAAAGCGCCTTGTGTATTCACTATATCCTTTCATTAATTGCCATTAAATTCTAAATTGACAGGAAAGGACCTGGAAAAAGGTCACAATTCCTTTGACACCATGTCCCTATCATACCCATATTATCATTGATAGCATAGCCTACAGGCCTAGGGATTGTATGACACACTACCAAAGTAGTATGAAAAGCCTCGACTTATACACTGGTATGACACTATTACACCCAAATGATGACTTTAAGACACTTGCCTTTTGACCCTAAAACACTATCACAGAGATGATCATATGGCAACCTTTATCACACTCATATGAACTTGTATAATGACCCTAAGATACTTGTATGAGAACCTTTGGACACTAGTAAGACAACCGTGAGACACTTGGCAAACTTAATGATCCTTAGACACTCAAATGATGACCCTAAGATACTTGTATGACAACCCTCAGACACTTTTGTGGTGACTCTGAGACACACATTACAAACTCAAGACACCTATAAGACAACCCTCAGAAACTTGTAGCATGACCCTAAGACACTCATCATAATCCTATAACTTCAAAATGATGGCCCTAAGACACTGATCCTTAGACACTTGCATGAGAACTCTAAGACACTAGTATAACAACTCTAAGACACTCATCACGACCCTAAGACACTAGAATGATGACCTTAAGACACTTGTACGAGAACTCTAAGACACTTGTGCAACAACTTTATGACACTGGTCATGACCCTATGGCTCTAGAATGGTGACCCTAAGACACTGTTCCTTAGACACTCACATGAGAACTCTAAGACACTTGTATGGCAACCCTAAGACACTCATCATGACCCTAAGACACAAGAATGATGACCCTTGAACACTCGTCTGAGAACTCCAAGACACTTGTTTGATGGCCCTAAGACACTGATCCTTAGACACTTTCATGAGAACTCTAAGACACTTGTGTGGTGAACCTAAGACACTCATCATGACCTTAAGACACTAGAATGACAACCCCAAGGCACTGATCCTTAGACACATGCATGAGAACTCTAAGACACTCATGACCCTAAGACACCAGAATGACGACCCTTAAATAATTGTCTGAGAACTCCAGGACACTTGTATGACAACCCTAAGAGAGTCATCATGGCCCTAAGACACTAAAATGATGACCCTAAGACAATTGCACATGAACTCTAAGACACTTGTATGACAACGGTAAGCCACTCATCATGACCCTAAGACACTGGAATGACAAAACTAAGACACTGACTTTTAAACACTCATAAGAACTGTAAGACCTTGTATAACAACCCTAAGACACACGTCACGACCCTAAGACACTAGAATTATGAATCTAAGACACTTGTATGAGAACTCTAAGACATTTGTACGACAATGCTTAGACACTCATCATGACCCTAAGACACTAGAATGACGACCCTAAGACACTTATCATGACCCTAAGACACTTGAATGATAACCCTTAAGTACTTGCATAAACTTAACACTTGTATGACAACCCTAAAACACTCAAATGATAACTAAACAACACTCATATGCCAACCTTACAGCATTTATAAGGTGACCTTTAGACACTAAGGCTGCAGTTTGACCATCATACAGCACCAACATGATGACCCCGTGCCCAAACGTACCTACATAGTAAACCTGACACTCATTTATCATGATCCACAACACAGCTGCACCTATATCATGGCTCCACAACACCAAAGACTTCATGGCACCATGATATAAGGGGCACACTGTAAGCACACCATGACCCCACCAAGGACCACACCCATTTCACAACCCCACCACACCCATATCACCACCCCATCATGCACATGTTGAGACCCCATCACACCCATATCACGATCCCCATTCAAGCCCATAACATGACCCCATCACACATGACCACACCCATGTCATGACCTCAACACACTCATTGAGGTACATCAGGCCATTCCCAACCCCCAAAAAACACATCCTACCAAACCAACACCACCCAAGGAAAGAAGCAAAAAAGACAAGCAAGCCATTCATTTCAATGTCATTTTACCAGACGTTTGATCTCTACAACAACTGTCTCAACCTTAAAGTGAGCAACAATGTTTCCATGTAAGATGTGCCTAATTAAAGATAACCACATATCTGTGCACTAAATAACAGCTTTTGTTTCAACACATGTAAAATACCAAGTGATGTTTCCTTGAGAATAAGGTAAAATAAATCAATTGGTAAAATGATAAAAATAATTCATCAATGTAAGACCAGACAATGTCTGCAGGTATTCTGCAACTGGCAGACTGAATTGATGTCTGCTCACAACAAAATGGAATGGAAGTGTACGCAAGTGACTCCAAAGTCAATGGAAAAGGGATAGTGCATCCAAAATTGTTGAAGACATTATTTTCCTGTAAGTCACAAACCTGGACACTTCCGTGAACCAACTCGAATGGGTATGCAAAATAAAACAATGCTTCAAAGCCCAGATAAAAGTGAACCAGGGAGCACTTAACCTTGCTTCGACTAAAGAATTTCCAACAATCCATCATGCTGAAGTGCTCCACGACCCATTAAATGGATGACTTCTATTTACAGGCCAATTCTACATGTCGAATCCACTATATAAGAACTAGACAATCAGAAGATCAACAAAGTCAAGCACAAGCCACAGGAAAGCATTATGCAATGGCAATCTTCATTCCACAAAGCCTTCAAGCCCAGCAGCATGCCTCACTTCAGCCTAACCGATCCATCCTCACATCAATTTCACGACCATCAATCAATGCTCCATTAAACATACCTTGTCAAATATTAAGGAAAAAGCTTAAGTGTTACACTATAAAGCCCCAGTTTTCTTCCAAGGCTGGATAACTCATTCACCAGATAAATCACTATCCAGCAAATGTAAATGTTAACAAAACAAACCACGCTATCTGCAGGATAGTTATTTATCTGCTGGATACCGTCTTGTCCACCTTTCAAGCAACCCGGGTGAGATCTTATTTTTTTGCAATGGCATTTTATTGTTTACAAGATTTCCTTGTTAGCATAAAATCTTCAAACTCTCACATAAAAAAACAAAATTCTACACATAGCAGGTAGCGAGGCTGAGTTGTTAGAGGCGCTAGACTTCAAGCATTCTATTCAACCACTACAGCTGTAACAGGGTTTGGTCTCTGAAGACCTGAATTTGGATCCTTGACCATGCATCTAAGATAAATATGGCCATGTTCAGTAACAGAAAATATTTGAACCCACGCTGAGGAAGGTCATTGGTAGTTCCAAGTCAGAGGGGGGGGGGAGGGGGGAAGGTAGCTTCACAAGTCAACATTTTTCAAGGATAGTATGAAGTTTTAGAAGTATTGACTTTTGAAGTACCCTCCCCTGCCCCCCAGGGGATTTGGCTGGATAGTTCGATTCAACCGAAAAACAAAACACCTTTCATCTAGAGGGGTATGAACATTTTTTGAAACAACAAACATTGTAACAATCCACATTTGCAGGTCAAAAGGATACTTATTGCATGAGCGGCGTCCTCAGAAGTCTCAAACAAAACTGTACCACAGCCCTTGGATCTTCCACTGGATTCTGTCATAATGTCCGCACGAACCACTCTTCCTGTGTTCAACAAAAAGCCCAGTATATACATTAACAGAGTGTTCAGATTTGAGTGTCCAAAAGCCAAAACCAGCCTCAAAGGGAAATCACAACAAACAGAAACAACACAATTAACAACCATTCAGCTCTAATCTAACAGTGGGAAGATGTGTGACACTCAAGGGAACTCCCATCTAAAAGATTGGGGATGCTCATTGTCTCACTTACGAGTGTAAAATCACAGATTTTCGTCTCACTTAGGGTTTTCAGGATGAAATGCCACTATTTTTAGACATCAAGGTATCTGTTAGGGTTGCTCTCATAGAGATAACCAAAAATACTGTCATGTGCATTATGAAGGTTATCCTTTAGAGGTAAAATAAAGCTTGAACCATGTCCAGATTGGTCCAAATCCCCCCTTTCTTTCTTAACTCATCTTCATTTCAAGCCCCTGTTATGAGTATTGCTACATCCACCACAGTGATGAACAGCTGTTAGCAGTTCTTGACAGAGTTTTTAAATAATATTTTCCTTTGAGTAAAAAACTGCAATTACCTGCTCCTTTGAACTTGTCCTTTAAGTCTTGCCAGGTGTACCGCCAAGGAAGCTGTGGATATAGAATCAATCCCAAATTTTTATTGCTAAATTGCTCACTTATGTAACATACCGGTATTTGCTAAAATTTGGTTCTACAGTGAAACCCATATCAAGCGGCCACCTATCAAACGGTCACCCCTATTAGGCGGCCAGTAATCAAAGTCCTGATGAGAGCTTTTCTATTGCTTTTACCTATATTAAGTGGCCAGCCCCCCTTTAGTGGCCACTATCCATTTCCCCAAGAGTGGCCATTTAATAGGGGTTGAACTGTACTTTTTATTTGAGCTGTTTAATTGTATGCTTAATCAAAAGATGGACAGATTAAATACTACATTATAATTCCAAGAAGGTTAGAAGATAGCCTGACTTGTAAAAAAGTACACACCAAAAGCATTGTCTCGAAAAGCAAATCAAAACTTAGAAGTACCGGTACATTCAAATTTACATTTTGACAATCACTTGACAATAAACAAATAATGAAATTCCCTTTCTTTTCCACACTTTGTTATGTTGTAGAACTCATGACATCACAGAAATCTTTAATAATAAATTGCAGGCACAAACTTAATACAACTTACATTCCTCACAAACACCTGCCTTCCCGAGGTTCCGCCGTCACTATGGTGTGATGAACCGAGCCCACCAATCCCACTACTGCCCCCACCTCCTCCGCCACC